CACATCGTCACCCCTCGTCACACCTCGTCACACCTCGTCACACATCGTCACCCCTCATCACACCTCGTCACACATCGTCACCCCTCGTCACACATCGTCACCCTCGTCACACATCGTCACACATCGTCACCCTCGTCACACCTCTCGTCACACATCGTCACCCCTCGTCCACAATCGTCACACATCGTCACACATCGTCACCCCTCGTCACACCTCGTCACACATCGTCACACATCGTCACCCCTCGTCACACCTCATCACACATCGTCACCCTCGTCACAACCATCGTCCTCGTCACACATCGTCACACCTCATCGCACATCATCACCCCTCGTCACACATCGTCACTCCTCGTCACACATCGTCACCCCTCGTCACACATCGTCACCCCCTCGTCACACATCGTCACCCCTCTTCACACCTCATCACCCCTCGTCATCCCTCGCCACACACATCGTCACCCCTCGTCACACATCGTCACCCCTCGTCACACATCGTCACACATCGTCACCCCTCTCGTCACCCCTCGTCACACATCGTCACCCCTCGTCACACATCGTCACCCCTCGTCACACATCGTCACACCTCATCGCACATCATCACCCCTCGTCACACATCGTCACTCCTCGTCACACATCGTCACCCCTCGTCACACATCGTCACACATCGTCACCCCTCGTCACATCGTCACCCCTCTTCACACATCGTCACCCGCCTCGTCACACATGTCACCCCTCCGTCACCCTCGTCACATCGTCACCCCTCGTCACACATCGTCACCCCTCGTCACCCCTCTCGTCACCCCTCGTCACACATCGTCACCCCTCGTCACACATCGTACCCTCGTCGCACATCATAACCCCTCGTCACACATCGTCACCCCTCGTCACACATCGTCACCCCTCGTCACACATCGTCACCATCATCACCCCTCGTCACACATCGCCACCCCTCGTCACACCTCGTCACACCTCGTCACACATCGTCACCCCTCGTCACACATCGTCACCCCTCGTCGCACATCATAACCCCTCGTCACACATCGTCACCCCTCGTCACACATCGTCACCCCTCGTCACACATCGTCACACATCATCACCCCTCGTCACACATCGCCACCCCTCGTCACACCTCGTCACACCTCGTCACACATCGTCACCCCTCGTCACACATCGTCACACATCGTCACCCATCGTCACCCCTCGTCACACCTCGTCACACATCGTCACACCTCGTCACACCTCGTCACACATCGTCACCCCTCGTCACACATCGTCACACATCGTCACACATCGTCACCCCTAGTCACACATCGTCACACATCGTCACCCCTCGTCACACCTCGTCACACATCGTCACCCCTCGTCACACCTCGTCACACATCGTCACACATCGTCACCCCTCGTCACACATCGTCACACATCGTCACCCCTCGTCACACATCGTCACACATCATCACCCCTCGTCACACCTCATCACACATCGTCACCCCTCGTCACACATCGTCACCCCTCGTCACACATCGTCACCCCTCGTCACACATCGTCACCCCTCTTCACACCTCATCACACATCGTCACCCCTCGTCATCGCACATCATCACCCCTCGTCACACATCGTCACCCCTCGTCACACATCGTCACACATCGTCACCCCTCTCGTCACACATCGTCACACATCATCACACCTCGTCACCCCTCGTCACACATCATCACACCTCGTCACCCATCGTCACCCCTCGTCACACATCATCACACCTCGTCACCCATCGTCACCCTCGTCACACATCGTCACACATCATCACCCCTCGTCACACATCGTCACACATCATCACCCTCGTCACACATCGTCACCCCTCGTCACACATCGTCACACCTCGTCACACATCGTCACCCCTCGTCACCCCTCGTCACACATCGTCACCCTCGTCACACATCGTCACCCCTCGTCACCCCTCGTCACATCGTCACCCCTCGTCACACCTCGTCACACATCGTCACCCCTCGTCACACATCGTCACACATCGTCACCCCTCGTCACACCTCATCACCCCTCTTCACACCTCATCACACATCGTCACCCCTCGTCATCCCTCGCCACACACCTCGCCACCCCTCGTCACCCATCACACCTCATCACCCCTCGCCACACACCTCGCCACCCATCGTCGCCCCTCGTCACCCCTCGTCACACATCGTCACCCCTCGTCACACCTCATCACCCCTCACATCTCATCACCCCTCACACCTCGTCACACCGAGGTGAGGGGTGACCATGTGTGACGAGGTGTGACGAGGTGTGTGGCGTCACCCCTCGTCACACCTCGTCACCCCTCGCCACACACCTCGCCCTCCTCGTCACACATCGTCACACACCTCGCCACCCCTCGTCACACATCGTCACCCCTCGTCACCCTCGTCACACATCGTCACCCCTCATCACACCTCGTCATCCCTCACACCCTCATCACCCCTCGTCACACCTCGTCACCCCTCGCCACACACCTCGTCACACCTCGTCACACATGGTCACCCCTCGTCACACCTCGTCACCCCTCATCACACCTCATCACCCCTCGTCATACACCTCGTCACCCCTCGTCATACACCTCGTCACCCCTCGTCACTCCTCGTCACTCCTCGTCACCCCTCGTCACCCCTCATCACACCTCGTCATACACCTCGTCACCCCTCGTCAAACATTGTCACCCCTTGTCACACACCTCGTCACACACCTCGTCACACCTCGTCACCCCTGACTCTGACTGTGAATCGACACACGCCCTCAGCTCTCTGAAGTTCCACTCACTGGAACAGACGAGGACAAAGTGAGAGCTACTTTATCCTGACCAGTAAAACCAGAGTCCCTAACCTGTCAGCATGTGAACACCTCACAGTTCAATGTGCTCCATATTAAACACATACAGACTAAAGACAACTGATCCAGCTGAGAAAACACACACACACCCACACTCCTCAATGTTTGATCCATCAGAGTCCTCAATGTTGGATCCATCAGAGTCTACTCCTCAATGTTTGATCCATCAGAGTCTACTCCTCAATGTTTGATCCATCAGAGTCTACTCCTCAGTGTTTGATCCATCAGAGTCTACTCCTCAATGTTTGATCCATCAGAGTCTACTCCTCAGTGTTTGATCCATCAGTCTACTCCTCAATGTTTGATCCATCAGAGTCTGCTCCTCAATGTTTGATCCATCAGAGTCCTCAATGTTTGATCCATCAGAGTCTACTCCTCAGTGTTTGATCCATCAGAGTCCTCAGTGTTTGATCCATCAGAGTCTACTCCACAGTGTTTGATCCATCAGAGTCCTCAGTTTTTGATCCATCAGAGCCTACTCCTCAGTGTTTGATCCATCAGAGTCTACTCAATGTTTGATCCATCAGAGTCCTCAATGTTGGATCCATCAGAGTCTACTCCTCAATGTTTGATCCATCAGAGTCTGCTCCTCAATGTTTGATCCATCAGAGTCCTCAATGTTTGATCCATCAAAGTCTACTCTTCAGTGTTTGATCCATCAGAGTCCTCAGTGTTTGATCCATCAGTCTACTCCTCAATGTTTGATCCATCAGAGTCTACTCCTCAATGTTTGATCCATCAGAGTTTGATCCATCAGAGTCTACTCCTCAGTGTTTGATCCATCAGAGTCTACCCCTCAGAGTTTGATCCATCAGAGTCTACTCCTCAATGTTTGATCCATCAGAGTCCTCAATGTTTGATCCATCAGAGTCTACTCCTCAATGTTTGATCCATCAGAGTCTACTCCTCAATGTTTGATCCATCAGAGTCTGCTCCTCAATGTTTGATCCATCAGAGTCCTCAATGTTTGATCCATCAGAGTCTACTCCTCAGTGTTTGATCCATCAGAGTCTACTCCTCAGTGTTTGATCCATCAGAGTCCTCAATGTTTGATCCATCAGAGTCTACTCCTCAGTGTTTGATCCATCAGAGTCCTCAGTGTTTGATCCGTCAGAGTCTATTCCACAGTGTTTGATCCATCAGAGTCCTCAGTGTTTGATCCATCAGAGCCTACTCCTCAGTGTTTGATCCATCAGAGTCTACTCCTCAATGTTTGATCCATCAGAGTCCTCAATGTTGGATCCATCAGAGTCTACTCCTCAGTGTTTGATCCATCAGTCTACTCCTCAATGTTTGATCCATCAGAGTCTGCTCCTCAATGTTTGATCCATCAGAGTCCTCAATGTTTGATCCATCAAAGTCTACTCTTCAGTGTTTGATCCATCAGAGTCCTCAGTGTTTGATCCATCAGTCTACTCCTCAATGTTTGATCCATCAAAGTCTACTCTTCAGTGTTTGATCCATCAGAGTCCTCAGTGTTTGATCCATCAGTCTACTCCTCAATGTTTGATCCATCAGAGTCTACTCCTCAGTGTTTGATCCATCAGAGTTTGATCCATCAGAGTCTACTCCTCAGTGTTTGATCCATCAGTCTACTCCTCAGTGTTTGATCCATCAGAGTCCTCAGTTTTTGATCCATCAGAGTCTACTCCTCAATGTTTGATCCATCAGAGTCCTCAATGTTTGATCCATCAGAGTCTACTCCTCAATGTTTGATCCATCAGAGTCTACTCCTCAGAGTTTGATCCATCAGAGTCTACCCCTCAGAGTTTGATCCATCAGAGTCTACTCCTCAGTGTTTGATCCATCAGAGTCCTCAGTGTTTGATCCATCAGAGTCTACTCCTCAGAGTTTGATCCATCAGAGTCCTCAGTGTTTGATCCATCAGAGTCTACTCCTCAGAGTTTGATCCATCAGAGTCTACTCCTCAATGTTTGATCCATCAGAGTCTACTCCTCAATGTTTGATCCATCTGAGTCTACTCCTCAGTGTTTGATTCATCAGAGTCTACTCCTCAGTGTTTGATCCATCAGAGTCCTCAGTGTTTGATCCATCAGAGTCCTCAGTGTTTGATACATCAGAGTCTACTCCTCAGTGTTTGATCCATCAGAGTCTACTCCTCAGTGTTTGATACATCAGAGTCTACTCCTCAGTGTTTGATCCATCAGAGTCTACTCCTCAATGTTTGATCCATCAGAGTCTACTCCTCAATGTTTGATCCATCTGAGTCTACTCCTCAGTGTTTGATTCATCAGAGTCTACTCCTCAGTGTTTGATCCATCAGAGTCCTCAGTGTTTGATCCATCAGAGTCCTCAGTGTTTGATACATCAGAGTCTACTCCTCAGTGTTTGATCCATCAGAGTCTACTCCTCAGTGTTTGATCCATCAGAGTCTACTCCTCAGTGTTTGATCCATCAGAGTCTACTCCTCAGTGTTTGATCCATCAGAGTCCTCAGTGTTTGATCCATCAGAGTCTACTCCTCAGTGTTTGATCCATCAGAGTCCTCAGTGTTTGATCCATCAGAGTCTACTCCTCAGTGTTTGATCCATCAGAGTCCTCAGTGTTTGATCCATCAGAGTCTACTCCTCAGTGTTTGATACATCAGAGTCTACTCCTCAGTGTTTGATCCATCAGAGTCCTCAGTGTTTGATACATCAGAGTCTACTCTTCAGTGTTTGATCCATCAGAGTCTACTCTTCAGTGTTTGATCCATCAGAGTCTACTCCTCAGTGTTTGATCCATCAGAGTCTACTCCTCAGTGTTTGATCCATCAGAGTCCTCAGTGTTTGATCCATCAGAGTCTACTCCTCAGTGTTTGATCCATCAGAGTCTACTCCTCAGTGTTTGATCCATCAGAGTCCTCAGTGTTTGATCCATCAGAGTCCTCAGTGTTTGATCCATCAGAGTCTACTCCTCAGTGTTTGATACATCAGAGTCTACTCCTCAGTGTTTGATCCATCAGAGTCCTCAGTGTTTGATCCATCAGAGTCCTCAGTGTTTGATACATCAGAGTCTACTCTTCAGTGTTTGATCCATCAGAGTCTACTCTTCAGTGTTTGATCCATCAGAGTCTACTCTTCAGTGTTTGATCCATCAGAGTCTACTCCTCAGTGTTTGATCCATCAGTTCTCTTCAGGAGGTTTCTGCAGGTGTGAAAGCAGCTTTAACTGATCAAGGCTCTCTGGGCTCCCCTTTCTTGGTAACTCGTGACCACCCTGAGGGTCCTGACCCCCACTTTGGGAACCACTGCTCTAGATAAGGACTTAAAATGCTGCTCAAATATTCTTCAATTTAAAAGAATGAATAAAGAAAAGTTTCATGGGAAATGAATGAGCAGATGATGTATTTGTTTTTTTCAGGAGGTTTTGTAAACATCATGTTAGCAGTCAGTCAGGGAGCAGGTGTTGAACTGATTTTAAATCTGACATAATTAAGACAATAACATACGTGTTTATCTGCAGGTAATTCAACAATATTAACTTTTAATGATGTCATAAAACAACCTGCACACCTTTGGACATCAGCTAGCTGCAGTCAGCCTTCAAGCTAACCACTGACAAACTTGCTGTCATGGAGTTTAACCAGGTTTAAAGAAAACGTTTAATGTGAAACAGATCATTCATATATTTATAATATTACACTAAATATAAATGTGTTTCATGTGTTTTAATGCAGACTGTGTTTATCTACTGAGACATAAAAACAAGTTGAAACGAGGCTCAGCAGCCTGATAGCATTAACGCTAACACAAAGATCGTTTATTTTACTGTGATGTGTTTACACCTGGGGTTTTCAGTTTGTGTGTTTGTGTGTGTTTGTGTGTGTTTGGGTGTGATGGTATATACACGTTAGTTACCTGGTCGTACGGTTATATCAGTGTTCTCCTCTTTCTGTGTTTAACTTCTATCACAGCAGCCTGTTAGCTTTAAAGCTAATACAAAGATCGTTTATTAGACTGTAATGTGTGTAGAGTTTGTTTTTAAGTGTGATGGTATGTTCATGTTAGTTACCTGGTAATAACCTCCAGCTCGTTCTGTCAGTGTGTTCTCCTCTTTCTGCCTCTCTCTGAAGAAAAGATGCTTTCACTCACATCAGTGTTGTTCCAGAGTTAAATCCGCAGCACGTCGGGCTCCACTTCACAGAACAAAATCATGATTTCTCCGGAACAATAGGATCGTCTGCCAGTCTCTGCCCGTCTCACCGCTTTGAGAAGAAAAACCCCAAAACGGCTCCGGCAGCCTCAGCCAACTGCTGCTGACGAGACCGTGACTGACAGCTTTCTTCAGCCAATAGAAGTCAGAGGGGGCGGGATTCTCTTGGCATCGCCATGACCAATCGTCTTTGTTCACTTTCAATAAAACCGAAGCCAACACCAATGAGAAACGCGTGCTCGGAGTGGGCGG